GTGTATCACCGAGTAATCGTAGTAACATGATCATGTGTATGGTAGTAATGTTGTAATGGATGATTGTGTACATGACTCAGTCACGGTGGGAACACGTGATCGTGTACGTGACTCAGTCGTGATAATGACAAATGATCGTGTCTATGACTCAGACACAGTGGTGACAAATGATGGTATAATGACAGAGTAATGGTGGCAACAAATCGTCACGTGCGTGACTCAGTCACGGTGGGAACACACGGTCATGTTCAGGACTCAGTGATGGTGACAAACGATCGTGTCTATGACTCAGTCATTTTGGTAACAAAGGCTGCGGATGTGACTCGGCCCCGATGGGAAGAAATGATTATGACCATGACTCAGGCACAGCGCTAACAAAAGGTCACGTGCATGACCCGGTCACGGTGGGAACCAATGATCGCGTGTAAGATTCAGTTACGGGAGTAACAAATGATCATGTACATGACCGAGTAAAGGCGGGAACACATGATCGTGTGCACGCCTCAGTCACAGCGGGAACATGATGGGACCTGGATGGCTGTTTCTACGCCAACTTTTCCCAACCCCTTGCCTGCACAACCACCAATGGAGCCTGCTCAGGGGCTGTCGAGGTTCTGTAGGGCACAAGGCCAGAAAGACAAGCCCCCTGCCAATGGCCCACCCCACCCCTTATCTCTAACAGCATGCCTTTTCCCTCTTGAGCCATTTCTCAGGAGTGTCTGGAGAGGGGGTGAATCCACAGAGACCAAATCTCCTCCAAGACGGAGGCTTGAGGAGTTTGGGGTTTTTTTTGTTTTTTGTTTTTATTAAAAAGGTTTTATCTTGCAGAGAAACAGTGGAAAAAAAAAGACAAAAGACAAAAATCCTAGTCACCTATTTTTAGCAAATCACATATCTTGAAATTCACTTTTCTACTTAAGGAACAGAAAACACCTAAGAAGACGTGACATGGGGCAGGCCTCATGGGTTGAGCACGACGAATATTGATCCAAATGCTGCTGTGTGACTTCCAGGCGGGTGCCCTCAGTGCCCTCCTCCTGCTGCTGTTAAACGAGGGTCCCAGCACCGCCCCGGGAGCGAAGCAGACAGATGGTTGTGCACCGGCTTCACTGTGGTCCTGAGGCAGACCTGCCCTAGAGAGCTGTCCCGAGAGGTCTGGCCCTTCCCCAGGGCGCGCACTGTCTGCGATCAGGGAGGGGCCAGGGCTAGAGTCTGAGCCAGCTCTGCTGAGCTGAGGAGTGTGCCTGGTGGTTGCTGTTCTGCAGTGTGGTGGGACAGGATGCAATTACTTCCCATCATGCGACTGAAAGCCACCGAAATGAAGGTTCTCAGGGGATCCCCAGCCCCCAGACCGTGAACTGAGACTGGTGGGGTTCAGCATCTTCCACCAGCTGACCTGGAGACCCTGGACCATGAAGGACACCATGCGATGGTTGCATGCCTACACAGAGGACACTGGTCCTAGAGTGAGGCCTGGGGTCTGGATGGGATCGTGTGCCCCAGAGACACACTCACATCCTACCCTGATCTTATCTGAAGAAATGGGCTTTTCTTGTCAGATAAGGGCAGCTAAAGGAAGAAAGCCCTGGCAGAGGTGGGTGAACCCTCAGAGTGGCATCTTATAAAAGAGAAAGACGTGGACCCAGAGATGCACACAGAGTCCAGAAGAGGACATCATGTGATGACAGAGACACTAGGAGAACCCTATGAAGGCTCAAAGTCCCAGGGGGATGTCCACGGTGGTGACCTTGACCAGATCTTGGGCCTCAAGATCTTTGGGGTGATGGAGTTCTGTCCTGTCTTTGTGATGTTTTGTCCTTGCTGGGTGACGAGGTGAGGCTTGTTTAATCTGATTTTTGCAACCCTGCTCTATAACATGGTTTTTTACCCAGCCCACTGGGTTGTGGATTGATACATTAGACGTCACTAAGCCCCTATCCTGGAGATGGTTCTTACTCGAGGAATTCAGCACACGACGTGAGATCTGACCCCCTCTGGCTCTGCGCGCCACTCTGGAAGCCATGGAGTGTGATATTTTTAGCCTGTTCTTATTAGTTCTGGTCTCAGGATTGGTAACCTGGCACCTGGTCCCATGTTCTCTCCGAGGACCATGAGAAATGGCACACATGTGCTCGCCCTCCAAGACTGCCTCTGCCTGGTGGGTGATGGTCTAGAAAGATTGGGGTCCTCAGGGGTCCAGGTGAGGTCTGTGAGGACAAGGTGAAGGCCAGAGGACCAGGGCAGGGCTCCTGGTGGAGACACACAACAGAGTTACACCTGGTCACTGCCTGAAAGGGAGCAGGACCAGGGTAAAGTAGGGACAATGATTTTGAAAAAAATTCTGTAACACTTTTGATCCCCAATTTCTGCCAGTCTACACGGGGTGATGTGTAGATCACTGGGTTATTCTGAGGACTAAACCCGCAGACAGACTTCCTAGACATGTCTGACAGCTCTTCTCATATGGAAAAGGCCCACAACAGAGACCCCAGGAACAGAGCAACTAGGTCAGCTGTCAGGCTGCTGGCTGAAAGGTCTGTGGTTCAAACCCACTAGCTGCTTTATGGGAGAAAGAGGGGCTAGCAGTCTCCTCCCAGACATGACAGGCGGGGAGCTGATGGAGGCCTCGTCGATGGCAGTGGGTCTGGTTTGTACTCAACATTTCTTTTAAACTGAGCTGTGTGGAGCTAAACACAGGATGGAAGGGAAGTGGGGATGAGGGAGTCTAAGGGGTAACTCTGTGGAAAGAGTGCGTGCGGAGTGAAAGAAGCGGGGCCCTGAAGCCTGAGGCCCGTGATGGGGGGTGGGTATGAGTACTGAAGAGAAGGATGTCATGATGAGCTCCTGGGAGTCAGCGAGCAGCACGTGAAGAAGGACTGTTGAGCGAACGTGGTGGAAAGGGGAGGGGGAGGCACAGTGGCACCGGGGTGTTCCACCCAGCATGGCGCACAGGGGTCCGTGGGATCCGCGTGCCAGGCCTGCATGACCAGTCAGCATACATGGACCCTGGCACCTGGTACAGGACAGCCCCGGCTCTGCCCCTTCTTTCCCTGGTTCCCAGGACCCACCCTAAGGTTCCACACCCAGACGCCAACCTCCTTCCCAGCACTGTGACCCTGACCATCATTCTGATTACCTCTGCTTGTCACTCACCAGGGCAGCTACAACACCTGCTGAGTGAACTTCCTTCCACCCATGTCTGAGTGTCCAGCGGCCACTGGCCTGCTGGACTCACAGGTACTCACTCAAGCCAGGCCCCAGGAGATGGACATCTCAGTACCCATATTACAAATGGAGAAACAGGCTCGGAGAATGTTCCTGAAGGACTCTGATGAGGGAGCATTGAGAGGCAGAACTAGGCTGGCTCCTGGTGTGTTGGGCTGTGACCTCCTGGCAATCACCTGCCTCAGAGTCCTGTGTGTCAGCCAGATGGACTCCCCTCCTCCAGAAGGGCTGGCTCCCAGCTGGTCTCAACCCTGAGGGCTGGAGGGTCCCAGGCCTGAGCCCAAGGCTGTCCAGGTCAGTCAGCAGCTGGCTGTGCCCCAATGGGCATGAGCCAGGACCTTCCAACCAGCAAAGTGCTGGAGAGGAGCCCACACACCTTTCTTCACAGGACGACAGAATCAGGGCTCAGAGGCAGCCACAGGGCAGCCCAAAGGGTCTCAAAAGGGACCAGAGCAATGGATCGGGAAGTCTGCTTTCCCTTCAAGATTCAGGACTCCAGCACACGAACAGAAGGGTCTTACTAGGTACCCATTTTCAGTGAATTCTTGGGTAAAGACAAACAGAAAGGCTCCACATTCCCAGCTGACCATCAGCACTAGACCCCAGGCAGAAGACAAGCAGCAGTCGTTTCCAAGAGTAATAAACCTGCATCCTGCAACCCACCACTGGGCACGACCTGACTCAGAGCTACGTGTCCAGAACGCTTCATGAAGCCACTTGTTAGGCCGGGGTCCCCAGGGGCAGCAGCAGGTAAGTGCTCAAACTGGGCCCAATGTCGAGTAGTCTGACCAACATTCATCACACCTGATGTCACGAGGGGCCAGCACCAACACAGTGACAGCTAACACAGTCTCCACTGTGGTGGCCTTTCAGAGGCTGCAAACAAGGCTCAGTGACAGTATTCACAAAACTGACTGCAGACTGACCAGTCAGAAGCCACTATGGCCAATCCAAGAGAACATCCGGAAGGCTGAGAGTCCCAACGCACCTGCTGACACGGCTGGGAGGCCAGTGGCTGGTGCTGGGGAGATGGCCAACTGGCCAGCAACTGGACTCAAGGAGTTCCTCTGTGCCACCTGCAGCTGCGCCTGACCACACAGTCCTGAGCCTGTGTGGGGCCAACAGTAGACAGGAACCAATAGCTGGTGTCCCTGGTACCCGTGCCAGCATGTGGTGTCACCTTCACAGGAGGCCTCCAGCACACCCAACTGAGTGCACACGTGTGCATGTGCACAAACGCAGCACACAAATACCCCCCGCACGCATGTACACACCCCCACTCACCCAGCACACGTACCCCCCCAAGACCCCCCAGCGCACACGCCCACACTCCCTACTGTCCAGCGCATAAACATATACAATGCACACGTACCCCCCTGGCACGCATGTCCACACCCCTACTCACCCAGGGCATGCACCCCCAAGTACCCTCCAGAAAGCACATCCACACCCCCACTCACAAAGCACATGTACCCCACCACAAGTATCCCCAGCACACAAGTCCATACCCCTACTCGGCCAGCGCACGCACCCCCAAGTACCCTCCAGCACGCACGTCCACACCCCCTACTCGGCCAGCGCACGCACACCCAAGTACCCTCCAGAACGCATGTGCACACCCCCTACTCGCTCAGTGCGTGCACACCGCTGCACAGGTAGCCCCCAGCACGCACGTCCACACGCCCTGCTTGGCCAGCGCGCACATACTCACCCCACTGCAGTGGGGCCAGCTGCAGGTGCTCCAGGACCAGCTGAGTGAGCAGCCCCTCCACGCTCGCCTCCCCGCGGCGCTTGAGGGATGGGTGTGTGCTGTCAAGGAAAACTCGGACCTGAGCCCCACAAGGACATGCCTCTGAAACACATCCTGATGCCTGACCCTGCTGGGAAGGGATTATAACTATGTTAATGGGGTTGCCCCGTCCAGCAGCTGAGGTCCCACAGAGGGTGGACAAGGAATCCCTGGACCACCACCGACTCCCCCACAGCTATGGTCGAACTGTGACTTCCAGCCTCAGGCTCTGCAAGACTAGAAACCTCGTTCTTGACAGCCACTCCCCCGTGGTGTCCCCAGGGTGCAGGCAGTTCAGATACTTAGTGAGGTCACCCTCCAACGTGAGCCCCACCAGAGCTTGCTCCCACAAACACACCCCTGCCCCTGGCTAGGACGATGAGGAAGAGTGAGGATTCAGACCTGGCAAGCCTTTTCCCTCGCCCCCAAATCTGTGGTGGAAAGGGGGGCCTGCGAAATAAAGGACTGCTTTTCAACACACATGCAACGCAGGATCCCCAGGAATACAGCCACAATAGCTCCAAAAGTGTTGTGTCCCGCATCCTCATACCTCAGCTGTGCTGATGCTCCCAGGATGCACTTTCAGCTCCCACACTTTTTGTTCCATTCTACTCCAATCTGTTTTCCTTGTGAGCCCCCAGTCAGAACCCAAGAGCTACTCTGCTGGGCCTGAAGGTCTGAGGTCACATTGGGGACCTGGAACCCCAAGGTCCTATCAGGTCCCTCTCTACTCTCAGGAGTTTCAGGTACACGTCATCTTTAAGTCCTGGCACCACCACTGACAAGCTTCGGCCTGGTTACGTCAGCTTTCTGGGTCTCAGAGTCCTTGATGTGTGAATGGGCACAGCCAGCCCCCTCAGTGTGCTGTCATGAAGAGGTGTGCTGCAATGAGGAGTGCATGCAGTAGACCCCTCCGGTTACCCCACTCCATCCAGAGTCTCTACTGCACAGTGTCCCCTCCTCCCCTCAGGAGAATGCCATCACCTCTGCTGGCTTCAGGTCTCTAAGGGAAACCAACCCCATTACACATGCTGGTCAAAGAGTTTCTCAGGAGAACTCTGCACGCACACAGCTGTGTCTGCCCTGCAGATGTCACTGCTCTGTTGTGATGGCACTGTGCGGGCTCCGAGGCACTGACCACACGAGCGGTGCTGCTAACCCCAAAGTGGCACGTTTGGCTGCATGACATCCCCACCCCCCAACTGTTCCAAGGGAGAAAGATGGACAGTCTTCTCCCGTGTGCTGTGCATCCCTGGAAAGCCACTGGCGGCCACTACGAGGGACAGTGGATGGTGCTCACACAACAGCAGTGTGTTCTTAGCTTTCACTTTGCAAAAGGAGTTCTGGAGGCATTGTCCATTACACATGGTGGCTGCTAACTAGAAGGTCAGAGATTCAAATCCACCAGCCTGCTTCTCAGGATGTAGGTGGACAGGCTCTCCCCTAACAGATTCACAGCCTCCGATTCTAGGTTTTGGCAGTTAAGACGAGGCAATGCCCTTGATGAAGTCTGGTGAGTCTCTCTGTTGAGGGGGTTCCCCGGCATTCAGTATCTAAGGAAGCCCGCAGAGCTCCCTGACTCTGCCCAGTCTGGATTCTGCACCTAGCTCACTGTCTCTCTGGTTCTTCAGACTTGATCCGTCAGCTTCCACCGCAGGAGTCAGGGAAGGCACCTTCTGAGACCATCCGTGGGCCTGGGGCTGGCCAGCCCTAAGGGGGAGTGACGTGCTTCAGACAACTGTCCTTCTGCCTCTAGGAAGATAATGGGCGGTTAGAGAACTCCGGCTGTGCAGTCCTGAACCACGGGTGGTGCTCTCTGGTTTGAATCCACCAACTTCACAGAGAAAGATGGGCAATCTGCCATTTCCAGCCTGGGGAAACCAGCGAGGGTCAGCTATGAGTCACGGCCAACCCCACGGCAAGGCCTCAGAGAGGGGTCCATACATATGTTCCATTGGTTCTGCTTCTCCAGAGCCCAGCCCGAAAAATGATCATCACTGAGATACGCAGGCGGAAAGTGTCGCGCTCAGCTGTGTTTTGGTGTGTCTGTTATACTCACGCACGTTTACTGAGGCTGATGAGGCATGGAAGGCTGGGGCGGGGCTCAGGAGGCCATGATAAGGCCTGTATTGCTTTGAAGCAGCCCAGCGTGTCAGCAAGGATGATGTCTTATTTACTGATGTTCGTCATTCGTTGTTAAATGTAATTACAGCATGGGTGCAGAGGCTGTGTTTACCAGTGAGCTCACGTACGTCACAGTTAATCCTCTTTGTATCTTGGGAACACAGAACATTCACCTGCAAATCTCTGAAACCCACAGAAGGTCAGCAAACACCTTCCCTCTCACTTTCTTGGGGTCTCAGGCTTGGAAGTTCTGCGAAGCTGACTCGATGCGCACGTGGCAGCTCCAGAGTGAATCAGCCAGGTGCAGCGGCTGAGCCCAGCCCCACTTCAGCTCAGATGAATTAGCAAATTGTCATAAATAGAAATTACACTAATGGAAAGATGGCTTTAAATGATTAATGAGCCTCTTTACCATGACTTTGTTTTCTCACTTGCACCGTGAACTTCCAGAATGCTGATGCCACTGAGTCCTCATCTCAGAAAGTGCCCGCCTGGCGGAGGGCCTGCAGGTCACAGGCTGCTGGACACCCCTGGCCATGAGAGAGCAGCACAGGGAGAGGTCTGCTCTGGCACATTGCCAGTCTGGAGGCTTCAGAATATTCTGGAAATCAAACGGAAACCAAGAGATGTCTCTCATTTTCCAGCATGGCATCCGGGCACCGAGGGCAGTGAGTGCCCACCCACAGATGGCCCCTCTGGGCCCGGTGTTCTCATCAGTCAGTAACAGCACATCGCAGGCTCTCCTGAGGGCTGGGGGACGTCTGTGTGGGCCGCTCAGAGGAGAGGCCAGACCACGCAGGGCTCGTTGTGGGTGGGGCTCTGTGGCTGTATGCATCTGTCCTGTAATATATGAACGCTTACCCACGGTCACGGCCACGCCAGCACACGCAGACGCATGCTCACACAGAGGCAAGCTCACGCCTGGGCCTGTTCAGCTATGTTCATACATAGACACTCAGACTCACAGGCCCTGGCACTCATGCCAACATACACACGTGCACCCCACATGCTGACATGCATGGGTGCCCCCACATGCTGACACACACACATGAACATTCCTCATACCCTGACACACACCCTACATGGTAACACATACATGAACAGCACACATGTCCCCTGTGCCGACACACACGAACATGCCTCATACCCTGACACACACCCTACATGCTAACACACACATGAACAGCACACATGTCCCCTGTGCCGACACACACGAACATGCCTCATACCCTGACACACACCTACATGATAACACATGCATGAAGAGCACACACGTTCCGTGCTGACACACACACGTGCACACACACCTCACACGCTGACACACACACTCACATCCACGCACACAGGCTGACATGGCACCAGGCCCTGAGGACGGCCTGCCCTGTCTCCTTTCGGAGTGACTTGAGGCTGCACAGATGTGGGGGGACAGCAAGCACACCTTTGCCCCGTAGAAGCCAGAGCCTGGGACTTGGCCTGAGGAGTCACGGTTCTGTCTGGGAGGCGGAGCCCCCAGACTCGGACGAAAGGCCTGGGTGCCGAGTTCCTGCCGGCAGCTAAGCCCTGAAAGGCAGACTCCCAGAGGCGAGAAAACACCAGCCGGCATCTCACTGACTACGATCTGGATCAGCTGTGCTGAGGGCAGGAGCTGTCTGTATCCGAGTTCACGCAGATGAAACGAGCTCTCCAGAGAGAACACGGCACTGCACGTCCACGGCTTTCTCGGGAGAGGAGAAAGCATTCCGATCAACAGCCTCGCAGAGAACACGCTAGAGGCCAATTATCGAGGGTGAGGGCCACTGGCGAGAATGCGATGCAGACCGTCTCGTCTCTGTCTCTCTCCCACCTTCTCTTGAGGGTGGGGCCAGCTGGACGGCAGCCTACTGACTGGAAGAAATCTGTTGTGGAAGTTGGAAGCAGAGGACAGTCTATACGCTGCCGTGCATGTCCCAGTCCTGACCGTGGTCAAACGAACACTGATGACAAGTGCCATGGCCCTGCCAAACCTGTCGTTTACGTAGGACGCTGGTATCTGAGCCGCCAAACATGACACAATTCAGACGTGGCACACGAGACACCATGGGCCCAATGCCCCTGGGGTTATCACTGTCCACACCAGGAAGGACAGTGGCACAGCAGACCACGTCTTCTGTCTCCCATGGACGCCATCCCCCTGTCTGGCCTCAGAGGACAGTGGGACGAAGGTGCGATGACTGGGTGTCACTGAAAGCTTCCTCGACGTGCTTCCACCACAGGACTGTGGCCGCCACCAGAAGAGGGGCCGGGTCCAGTCAAGATGAGATCTGCCGCCAGTTCCTCGGACACTTGGTGCGTTGAGACTAAGCTGGTGGCCACGCTGTGCGCTGAGTACAGGACGCGAAGTTCACTCAGAGAATGCCCTCTGCCGCCTCATGCACGAGGCCCCGTGGTCCCCATCGGGAACACCCCAGGTGCAGGACCAGCCCAGCCCACAGCCGAACCAGCTGCACATTTCATGCGATGCGCTGTGTCCACGTGGCTGCGTCTTGATTTCCAGCAGTCTGGCAGTTCTGTGAGGAAGTGGCTGTCCCCTTTTCAGTCTGACATGGCTGTCCTAGCGGTGGAGATCTTGAGCACGGAGCAGGAAAGGGCAAGGTTCCAATCCGCTGTCTGCAGGGTGTAACGACTCCCGGTGAGCTGTATAACCTGTGACAACGATGGCCTCTATGCCTGTATAATACCAGCTTCTGCATCAGGACCTGGCCTGTGGAGTCTGGCCACACTCAGTGAATGGGGGTGCACATGCAGCTACGTGGTGGAGACCCCCTGGCATCGTACAGACGGGTGCAAGGAGCTCCCGAAGGACAGCAAATTCCTTCAGAAGACGCCCATCCGGCCTCGGATGTCACAAACAGATGAGCGTCACAACTATGGATAGGTGTCAAATCAGGATCAACTTCTTTCAATAACGTCTAAATATTTAGAAAATATTCTAGAAACGCATAAGGAAATTATTAGTCAAGTCCATCTTTGGTCTTCCCATCTGCTTGAAGTGAGGTTTACAATAGCAAAGTCTGCTATCGGATCCATGGCAGATGTACCAGACGCCAGGGAGACGAGGCATGAGCGCCCTACAGGGTCCCTCTGAACGGACTCACGCACCAGCCTCCCCGACTGGCAACAAGAGATTGTTCGGGTTCACCTGGGGGACACCCATCAAGTCCTCCCTCGGAGGGGGTCTGTGGGCAGGTGCCTCACATGACATGCATTCCGTAAACACCTGGTGTGGCACCGTGATACGAACACAGACAACAAGGAGGCCAACGTCCCTGAGGAGTCAGGCTAAAGCACTGCCTTGATTACACTTCCCCAAGAACTCAAGAGTCCAGTGGGTCAGGATCATCCCACTGGAGGCCCTGGGGGCACCAGCAGCTAAGGACTCAGACACTAGCCAAGAAGCTGATGGGTGAGCACACGTGGAAGTGCCAGGGACAGGTCTAGAACCGGTTTACAAAAGATCACAGCAGCTGTGACATTGGGCCAGGCTCCATGGGGAAAACAGGAGAGCGGTAGACCCACTTCCCACTTCTCCCTATTCATACAGCAAATGTCTTCATGGCACGGCAACGAGCTGCTTCTGTGGGCTCTCTGGAGTCACGCTATTTTTAGTGTCCAGTTCACAAAAATGTCCGTCTCCATGTAAATTGCTTATTTTATCACAAGGTCCTAGGAGAGGCAGGTCTGCCTGGCAGAAACTCTCTGAATGAATGAAGGAACTTGCTCAACGTGGAGGCTCCAGGTCTCCAGGTCTCATGAGTTTCCACAATGACCTGAGGCTGTTCCACGGCTCTGGTCACATCCGGAGCCACAGAGTGGTACAAGGGTGAGCCAGCCAGTGGACGCTCACACCAGAGCCGACTCTTTCGAGAGACGCTCTCTGAGCTGCAAGCTGGTGTCCCTCCACGACTGTGGGCCTTCTCCACTCTGTCCCCCGGCGGGCTTCTGTCGTCATCTGCTGTGACAGAGTCCAGCTTTCTCACTGTGACCACTGCTCCACAGAGCTTTCAAGATTGTGGTGTTCCAAGAGCAGACCACTAGTTCTGTCTGCCTGGGGCAGAACCAGGCCGTGTCCTGTTCCTTCTTGTGAAATGCTACCAGGTCAGCTTAGACCCACGGACAGCAGAAAGCACCCCGGCTAACCCTGGGCCCTCAGCCCATCCTCCCCTCTGCAGACGCCCACTGCTGCAGGTACTGAACCGGTCTATCTCATTGACACTCTACTCTTCCAAGCTGGTGCCTTTCTCCACAGACTGGAAACTGGCCCCAGTATGAGAAAACAGCTCACCGTCCTTGCTTCAAAGATGCACTCTGGCCTCCCTTCCTCCAAGGCAGACCCGCTTATTCTTTCAGTCACCTACCATCTCACTGTCCTCAAGTTAGAGTGGGCTTACGGCCGACCCCACGGCAGACTTGGGGGCTGCCAGTGGCACGGGGGAGTCTGTTCGTCCTGCTCCCGTGGAGTCTCGAGGTTACCCGCTGTAGTTACTGCTATGCAGCATCAAGTGGGAACCCAAAGCTGACCCTCCTTCACGGGCTTGCACTGACAGTAAATCACAACTTTCTCCACGGAGCGGCTGGTGGGTTCAAACCTGTGCACCAGCAGTGCCATTCCTTACCACTAGGCCACCGTATTCAGTATTCCTTGCCAACACCACAATTATTACTTTCTGTCCACCCTTAAGAAGCCCACCCACCCACTTGTGAAGCCTCCCATGGTTGTCCAACATGTATGGCATCTTCTGGTGAACCCACCCAGCACTGGGCTTGACTGTGGTCCCAGAGTACATGGTGGTGTGCTTTGCCCCAGCCCCAGAAAGGGCCAGGACACCTGGCCTGTTTTTATCCACTGACCGAGCCTACAAAGTGCTTGGCCCACAGTCAGCTCTCAGTGGGGTCTGCCACACTAACCGATAAACACACAGCCCGAGGATCCAGGGCACGCCCACCTCCCCCCCCCTCACTCGCTAGGTGTCCGGCATGAGCCAGGCCTGCCTGCTGCAGGGTCACTGAAGGCTCCCTGCAGCGCCAGCCCTCTCGCCCCATTTGCCATGTGGCATCTCCAGACCTTAGTGGCTGCACAATTTGATTCCAGTTTCCCAGACACCGAGCTCTCGGGCTGTGGGACTCCTGGAGGCTGGAACTGAGGGGACGCCATGAGAACCTGCACTAACACGAGGATCAACAGGGGCCGCACGTACTCGCCCCCAGACAGGAGCAGCAACAGCCCCAGCAAGATCTCTGCTGCTCCGACGTGATACTTCAGTAGAGCCCTGGTCCCTAAGAGAGCAAAGGGACACTGGCCAGCTGACCCACGCCTCCCACCAGACACATCTGAGCTCTCGGTGGTCAGGACGCACTCCCATGCCCTCCCCGCCCCACGATCCAGGACAAGGATATGATCGTCCAGTGGACGCCCAGCTTGCTGTGGATTTCCAGGCCACGTGCTTCCTGCCTCTCTTCTTCCAGCTGACTGGGGCTTGCAAGCGGACCCTTCTCCCTGGCAGATTCTGGGACGCTCTCGAAGCTGAACTTGTCCACTTGAATGGCCATCCTAAGAGGAGGAACACGAGAGAGAACTCATCAACAGGATGGAGTCCTCGGCTGATGGCAACAGCTCACGCCTGCGGGAGCAGGGTAATGAGTCATTATCACCATTCATTCACAGCAGATCCTTTCCAAGAAGATGAATACTTGACTACCAGGTGGTTGCAACTCCAGAGCGGATTTACAGATGAAGACACCATCAGAGACTCAGCCCTAGGAGATGACCTCGTCTGACCAGAAGGAAATGTCAGCTTTGCAGGGGAGGGGCAGCATCAGACGGGGACGGACAGGAAAAGGCTTTCAATTCCCTCTAGACAAGTCAGAGGGGACTAATTAACTGTGGGGGCCCCGGAAGTGCACTGTCTTCAGATGAAGCCTCCTGTCATCTCACCACTCACACGTGCCCTCCTTCTGAAGGATGCCCAGTCCCACCAGGTATCATGGTACCTGTCCCCTCCAACCAGTTCTGCAAGGAGGACACCCCACCGGGTCCTCCTCTCACCCACTTTCTGCTCAAGGGCCATGCCTTTCACGTCTGCCCTGGCCTTCTGCTGGTTTCTAGAAGGTACCAGGCTTGCCTGCTCACCTGTGGGTCTGTGTCCTGGGCCCACAGCATGCCTCTCCTGATCCTGGCATGGGTAGCACCTTTGACCCTGTAAGTTTGGGCTCAGGAAGGGTCCTGCAGCCCCTGTCACAGCACAGCTCTCAAGCTGCCCCCAGCCCCATCTCACTTCCTTTTGCAGCATTTGACTGCTTTTTGTCCTAGCATTGACCATGAACTGTAGGCATTTTGTTTATTCTGAGACTTGCTAATTGCCTCCCAACCCTCCTGGAATGCAGCCCCCAAAAGCAGAGTCTTTGAGTGTTGGCTGAGAGAGGTGCTGGCACAGAGCAGCTGCGCACTGAGGCACTGGCGGAACACGGGAGCAGGTGGACTTGGAGCTGCCCTGCTTCCGTGGACAATGTTCACCACTCCATCCTTCCTGCCCCCTTGGCTCTGTGCCAACATCCACATCCAACCCCACCCCTATCATGACGCCCCACCGGGGAGGCACCCAGCACTCGTGTACAGTGCACCTGGGTCTGGAGGGGACGGTGTGAAGCCCCATCTGCAGCCCACACCACAACACCTTCATAGGCAGGCTGGGTCTCACTAGGTGGGAGCCCCACCTCTCAGCACCTGCCAGTGGGGTCCATGGGGGCTGGATGGTCCCAAGCTCTGAGGAGGGCACAGCTACTGCATTTATTTTTTTAGTATCTCAGTTTCTATTGAAAGATGCATGTATATAAAATGAGATATGGTCACGCCTCAGTATCACAGGTAGCCATGAGTTCAACACTGTAACACCTGCCCATTGCCACTGACTCGTGGAGTCTCCACTGGGTGTGGAAGCCGTAAATCTTAGAGACTGCCTCCTCTGGCTCCTGGAGCAGCTGGAGGATTTGAACCACCAACCTTTCAGTTAGCATATTACCCACCACGCCATCAGTGCCACTTCAAGACTATGAGAACTATTAAAACTTCCCACTATTTGTTTCACAGACACAAAGCCCACTTCAAAGGCATTAACAGTCTCTCAAAGGTATTGAGTTTCGGACAAGTCAGTCACGTTCTAGAAATGACCAGACATTTACCTGGGCTCGAATATTTTAAGAGGCAGCACACAGCTCGGTCCCACGGAGGCCGGCACACAGGTACTGTTTCCTACAGCAACAACCTTCAGTTACAGTGAAGGACTTGTCTCTAGCAACCAAATGATAATCAATACAGTAGGTACTCAATAAATGTGACACCAGGTTGGTTTTACTTTGGGGTTTTCTTCCATGTGAGTTCTCCTAAATTCTGGTCCCCACAGACACTTCCCACTGAATCGCTCGCCGGAGGAAGGGACACTTTGTAGTCCTGGCAGGGACTTAGCCAGGGCCTGGATTCTCTGGCAAACCCAGCATGCTCTAATTGGTCTGCAGGGACATCCCTTCTGACAGGCAGGAGACAAGAGCGACTGGTGTTCACAGTGTGGAAACGCATGCTCACAGGCCAGGAAGAGGTCTCTGGAGCCATGACGGCCTGGCCAGAGCAGCTGGAACAGTGGCCAGTCCTGCACCGGCAGGGGCTGCACCGTCAGGGGCTGCACTGGCAGGGGCTGCGGGACTCAGGGCAGGGTCACTCTAGGGGTTAAGCTTCTTGTACACAGTGTGCTGGGCAGGAGGAAGGGCTTTTTACAAAGCGTGCTTGCTGCTTTCAAAGCGCGGAGGTTTCTTGTAAAAAGGAAGAAAAGCACAGAGAAGAAACGGAAAAGCATTCCAGACCCCTGATCTCCATGCTTATGGCCCGATTTCCAGGCTCACTTCCCAGTGTGAATGCTGCCCTGTAGTTTAAATCATTCCATGTTTGTCACCACAAACACAACAGTCCTGGTTCTGTCCTAATGGACAAGGAGCCTTCACAAAGTTTAGGGCCCAGAATATTCTGTCTCCCACACAGAATAATTTTCCCTCTGCTCTTTGGATTCACAGAGCTGTCTCATTTTAAAAAGCAATTGTTGAGTTGTTGTTGTTGATTGCCTTCAAGTCGAGCACAGCTCATAGGGACCACCCTATGAACAAAAGGCCAGAAGCCCCTCTACAACTATTGACATTTATCAAAGGTCATAGTTTCCAGAGGCATGTTGTTTAGGAAGTGGATGCTACTCCCGCTTCAAAAAAAAAAAAAAAAAGTAATTAGTGTTTTAAAAAAACCCCAAGCCGATAACAGACGTCTTTATGATTAAGTTTTCGTTCGTACTTTGGCTGTCAGTGAACCACCTCCTTCTCAGAACAGTGCCCCATCAGTGTGGGGTGCTCCCTCTCTGCCCCTGGCCACTGGCAATGATCAATTTTTAATCTCTGCAATTCACAGGCAAATTGCTATCTCGTTGATGTTTAATCTGCAGTTCTGCACAGCTGAGGGCGAGCACCTTTGGGGATTGTTATTAACGTTTATCTTCCCCAGGAACAGCCCACAGGTGGAGGGGAAGCTTTCCCATCGCCCATCTCAAAGCAAAGGATGCAAACTTGTAATGCCTCCAAACAAAAGGTCAGGATATTTTCTAAGTTCTACTAAAAAGGTCAATTCAAGTTCACTGCCTGCTAAGCCAACAGGAACTAATAATTTTCACCTTTCAGAGAGGCTGCAGACAGTCGGGTCCGGGGGTCTGGTACCAAGTAAGCCCTCCCCCGCCGCCCGCCATGCTGGGAGAAGGACCTGCATGCAGTGGTGTGATTCCCTGGGGGTCTTGCAGTCACAATTTCCAGTTTGTAAACATCACATCACACTGTTCTTCTCCAGCCTCTTAATATACCTGTAGCCAGGTGTGCCCACAACACTGAGGAGGGGAAAACAGAAAATATACCCAGCACCTTAAATGCTGAAACCCGACCCAAACAGACCAACAGCTCTTTGTGGTCCAGAGCGCGTTCTCCAGGAGGGTGGAGAGAAGCAGAGAGAAGGGCTTGCACCCAGAGCCTGCTCTCTCAAAGGGTCTTCCATGGCAGGGTCTTCAAGGGCTGGCCAGGGAGGGAGTGAAGCTGGCTGGGCCTTCACCAAGCAGGTGAACACAGAGTGGCTCCTGTCCGTCACCCCTCCTACCTCGGGGCTCTGTCGGTATTTGTTCTAGGTTTTGGATGTGGTGTGGACATGAGCAGAGCACCCCTCCTCTTGTTGGCTGGCCGGGGACAAGGGAGAGCCAGGCCCACGGGCACCCCGTCCAGCTCTCTCTCAGACGCTGTGGAGTGGAGAGCAAAGCCTCAGCAGGGCGGGCTGGGACCCCAGGAGTGAGTGAGGGCTTTCCCAGCCCACAGCATCCATGGGCCAAGAGCTACTCGATGAAGAAGTGTGACTGGTGCGAATGCATTTAGCTCTACAAATGGGACACTGGTGCCCGCTGAAGGAAGGGACCTGAAACCAGACAGAGAGGCAGGGCAGGTCAACCCAGGCCTTCCCCACCCAAGACCTCACGGATCTTATCAGATCGGCTGGAAGCCCAGCTGTCCATGGGCAGGGGGGACGACCAGCCCTCACAGACCACTCCTGGTGAAGGAGTGGGAGCGCTCCGTCCACTGTGAAGTCCCTCGCCTTTAGGGCAGCCTGCCTTGACATCTCCCATCAGGCCACTAATGCAAACACCACAGGCCAGGGAAGTCGGATAAGGAGGTTGGCGCCTGAGTCCCCCTCTCTCCCAGTCCCTTCTCAGAGAAGCCTTCCTCGTCCTGGTCACCCTCTGTCTCTTGCAGGTGTGCAAGACTATGGGTCATGTACCCCACTCCTCCACCTGTTTCCAGCAGGGAGGGGATGGGCCTCTCCGTGCCGGCACAGGGGTGCTCAATGAGCGCGGTGGGGACCAGTGCTCACAGCAGGAGCCCACCTTGCTGTCTCTTCCCCACGCAGCACTGTCCCACCCAATGCATGGAGAACTCATGTCCTATGTCAGCAACCCTGAACGACGTGACTACAGTCACAACATGCAAAGTACAAAAATCCTGTTTCTTCATCAAAACCCAGGGACAAAAAACTCCCTTTTGTTAGGCTTGGTGCAGATTAAACAAGGATGTGCATGACGCCTGGCACAAAGGCACAATCCAGAGACGTCACTGGTGTTGTGACCATACTCCCAGGTCACTGAGTGTCACTGCAGCACTGGCAAGGGAAGGAACAACCCAGGAGCTTAGAAGGCACAGTGGCTGAGTTCTGGGCTGCTAACTCAAAGGTTGGCAATTCAAATCCAGCAGCCACTCTGTGGAGAAAGAGGTGGCAGCCTGCTTCGTTAAAGACGAAACAGCACCAGAAACCGTATGCAGCAGCTCTACTCTGCCTGCAGGTCAAAACAGAGCCCATGGGGGAAAAAGCAGGTCCAGGAAAGGGCTGAGACCCACTGCAGTCCGACCCTACACCCAGGATTCCCCGTGCCCCCACTCCCACCCGTTCTAACAGTTTCTAACACTAGTTGATTGTGTTCATTTTTTATGAGT